ATGCCTGAAATAAAAAATAAAATTATAGCATTCCCTGCCGTAATACTTTTGTCGGCTGAAAAATTATGAAATTCATTTTATATTGAAGTGTCTCTTTGTAAACAGTATTTGGAGTCCTTCTCGTAGGTGCTGAGATTGTTAAGCTACTTGCTGAACTTACTCTGATGTAAGCTATGTAAAACTGTCGGCGAGATAAGGAAAATAAGGAAATTCGTAATAATTAGACAGTCGATATTTACGTATTCTCTGATCTAATCTAAAATTGATTCTACGAGATCTCTACGAGGAATGTAATTTATTTATGCAGATCTTTCACTTTCATGATTAAGTATTTTTGGAGATTACGTAAACTAGATGCAGTTTCTTGTATTCGAACTTTATTTCTTGCTTATCTACCTTAATTACAGTATCTATGTTTAATTATTTCTGAACATGTGTCAACATCCCTTTCTCAGTGTCTTTAAAGTTTACCGATAGATCTCTTGATCGATGTTGTTTCTAGTTAGAAAGATGCATTTTGCATCAGCAATGAAGCTAGCTCAGTCTTCAGTTTACTTTCCAGAGGATTTCCCAATAGCAGGCCGATCGGAAAAGGCAAGCCGAACGCGTGTTCACTTTTCTTACAGCCTGCGACCGAGATTTCCACTCGCATCCACGTATACGAGTGGCTCATCGATTAATAGCTTTCCCCCGATGAATTACTTTGACGAAAGAGCACCGTTAATTAAACAGAAGCGATTTTCATTTGATCTCCTTATCAGTTTTCAATTTCTCTTTCCTTTAACGAAAAAGGATTAAAGAAAGCGTCATTCTCGATTTAAATCTGAAACGAGCCGCGGGAAGAGCCTCGTTCAACGTGTGAACTATTTTCTTTTTCCTTTGTGCCGCTTAGAAACTTTCTCTATTCGATGGAAAAACCGATTAGCAAGCTAAGACACATTTGCTTCTGTCCGCGTTTGCGCAATTGTCCAGTCGGCCATCTAAGGGTGGGCACTCCTTTTTCGAGTGCCGTTTAATTTGCCGAGCGCAAACGCGGACGCGTTCGACTCAAGGAATGCGCTTACGCACATTATCAGGAACTTGTTACGTTACTCACTGATTTCTGTTACCTTTAGTGCCACTCGGTTTAGAAAGTGTCCTTTTCAGAATTATCCACATTTTTTTATTCTATTATTCTTTGTTCATTTCTAATGTTGCATTAACACGTTAGGCGCCGAGGCAGTCATTCATGACTGACAGTCACTGTTGACTATAGAAATTGTTACTTGATCAGAAATCGAGTAATTTACTATAGCTTTTCATCATATCTCCTAAACTTTTGGCAAAGTTATATATTAAAAATCACCTGTTTAAAGAAACACGTCGAACATTTCTATAAATTTTTCCTAGAAGTTTATGGCTTCAAATATTAGATATAGTTTTGTAGTATCGTCATTTCATTTCATAAACACGTGACAGGTATTTTAGGACTGGAACAATGTTGAAAACGAAGCAGGAGATAAAATGCTAATCGATCCTTCAAGCCTGCAAATCCGAGCCTTGGCTGAAGAATTTACGAGTCGTGTACGATTTCATGAAACGCAAGTCCTCGGTTACACCACGGCAGAGAAAACGAGGTAGGAACAGAGGCGGTTGCATTATTCGCGGCATTTTTCTCGGCGCCGGTTGGCCTTGCGGACATTACCTCCGCGTTTCCATTCACTGCCGCGCAAAACCAGAGGGGATCTCCTCTTCCTAACTAGCCAGCCTCTTCCACCGCGCCGGTGAAAGAGTCGTCCGCGGCTTCTCCTATCGTTCACCGATTCCTATCGGCCCGCGTCGAAAGGATCCTCCGCGCGAACGAGCTTGCGAAACCCGGCGATCTTATCGCGGATACGCGGTTTGTTTTCCACTCGGACGTTCGATGCCTCGCGCCGATGTCGTCCGCGAAGATTTACCTGCGTCAGTTCCAACGATAACCCTTTATACCGGGGAACCGGTATTTCCGATAAAACCCGCGAGATAATAGAAAAAAAAAAAAACGGAATTTATGGTCAACAAACTATATGAACCGTCAGCAGCAGTTCTCCCACACTTCTCGAACGTTTTTCATTCTCAGTAATTAAACTGGATTTCTGAAATCACGTAATTCGTTTCATTCACGGACGCGATAAGAAGATACGCAAGAAGCGGGGAAACTAATTCGCGCCGAGTCGACTTCCTTCTTTCATTCAATTAGAAGTTACAACGTAGGCTTGCTCGCCGGTTTGTTTTTCTGATTCCGGAGGGGTAACTCGCGATGGCAGAACCGAGCCATCGTTCCGGGGAGTTTAATTGAAGAATTACGCGAGCGCTGCCGCGGCGGCCGGCTCGTGCTGCCCGATGATTACATACATATTTAATAAACCGAGGCTCGCCGTTCTATCGGCGTGCCGCCGACCGCGAAGTCAACGACGCTACCAGACACTTCCGCGCCAGGTAAACAAGTAATCCTTGGAAACACGCGATTTTATTACAATTCTACGGTTATTTCAATCGTAATTGTTTATTGAATAATAAAACATTTTTATTGAATTATAAAACATCGAATTGGCAATTAAGTTCGTTCGGTATTTAAGGATAGAAAGAAATAATTCTTTTGACATGCGGGATATATTGTATTCAATTATGCGCAACTTGCTCATTCTCTTTAATTTTAACCATTATCATTCCATTACCATTTTTAAAAAACTAGGTGAGATTATTCGTGTTATTAGCTTTAAGGCTAATAAAGGTCAGTATTTATTTGCGTAAAATTCTCTTTGATATTTTGGCATAAAAAATATATTTCTTTTTTTTATCCACAAGATTTTTATTCGAACCCCGGGAACAAAGGAGGAGAAGTGTGCGCGCTGCTAATTAATTATCTTTCGCCCGGTGCGTTCCCGCTCGATTCGATTAGCGATAAGAATCTTAACGACGTTATCGTTCTATCTGGTGCAGGCCGGGCTCGATCGATGATCTACGGTAGCGTGCGGCGCGTCGTAAACGGATCGTCGATCTACGGGTCCGATCGGAGAATCGAACAAGCGGATACTCGGAGTAGAACGCCGCGCGAGCTCAAACATAACAGAAGAGAGCCGCGCGCGGCGGACCGTTATTCGTAACACACAAGCTGAGTAACTATCGGCATTATTTTCTAATGCTCGCGCGGTTCGCAGGTCCCAATTTCTCTCGTCAGGCTCTCGTATTTATGGCATCGGCAAGATCGGTTTCATTCGCCGGTTTCCGTTCCGTTTTCACGCAGGTCCTATCCTTCAATCATTAATTATTTTATACATACATACACAGCGAAGTTTAGGAATATTCGTAGATACTTTAAAATTGAATAACTTTTCTAATATTCAGTTTAATGAATTACTTAGATCTGCAAAAGTTGCATTTTCTGATATATTTCTAAAAACAGTTACATGCTTCATCAATTATTATTGATGATTTATGAATTGCTTCATAAATTACAGTGAATATCAATATCATTATAACATCATTATTCTTGACATTTCAATATATCAGAGTGTATCATACTTTCATCCTGAGACTTGTATTCGTGTTGCATTTCTGTTTCATAAAAGCGAAGACGTATCTTTGCATTTGTTTTACGGATGATTTGGGTCAGAATAATTTACGCGACGTATTGTTACGTCGCGCTCACCGTTACACGGTTTGCAAAACGCCACCGTACACGGGCATTATCTGTTTAATGTATTCGCCGGTTGTTAACGTTAATTCCATTGAAGTTATGCAACGCGTTGCTCAAAATTACCTTCATTCACTAGTCCTCCCCCCCCCCTCCCCTCTGTCTTACGAGCACCCCGCGTATCAATCCCGATCTAACACTCGTTCCTTCCCACGAGTATGCTCAATTACCACGCGATCCTTTATCTACTGAATTTAAGGTTGTACGAGCCCTTACATGAAAACAATGACAAATCATTCGAATTTTAACACCTATTATTTATATTAATAATACACTGTGTACAATTTTTAACATTGCTATTACATCTTGAATTCTTATACTGGAGGGCAAAATATAGATTCGACAATGACAGAATTCTGTATAATTATTTAGCGATTTTTGCTTCACACACTTTGTAACACTTACTTTATTAAATATAATCTCAATGAATAGTGACTTCTCTTAAACGTGCCTGATTTATTTCATTATATTATATTCAATTTATTTTCATATACCTGCGCTAATTCACCCATTAATAAACGAACGAACCTTTCAGGCAATCTAGTTCAACCTGAACCATCAATGTCCTCACCATAAATCCGTGCATCCCCTATCTTCAACATTATTACCACTCCATTCATTAGGTATTATTACCAGAGTTCAGTCTCGTCTCGAAATGAGCGTGAATTATAAAATCAAACGGAGCTCTCTTATACACACCTCGACAGCTAACTACCTTAACCGTTTCTTCATTTGTACTCTCGTGACGACAAAGCTGCGTTCACGCAGAGCTAATCTCTAGCCGTGTAATCGCGGGGAAGCACGTTAGACGGAGATCCTGCACGCGCGTTTTCTGTGAGAACCCGCGTAAAAGTGGATGTCCTGTTAATGGGAGAACAACTATGCACGCGATCTCGCACGCGGAAGAACAGCTGTTGCGAGCGAGGTAAATTGTTGATCCGTTCCCAAGTCAATTTCCTTCCGGCTCTGCCGCGTTCCGAACTCCGACCGAAATCGAGTAAACACCCGGGCGCACCGGGTATGTCCTTCCTGCATCGCAATTGCACAACGGCGACAGGTATTTTCTCCCTAACTCGAGGCGACGAAATTAGAAAGTGTTTAACGCGTTTCCCAGTCCGGTAGCTACCGTGACGCAAATCATCGTTTGCACAAGCCGTTCGGGAAAAATGTTTACACGAGAGAATTCGATGACACTTTGGTCATATCAATGTCTCACTGATGAAGCTGGTCTGACCGATTAACTGATTAATGAATTAGGCAATTGTATGCGGGTCAATGAGCTCACCCTGCGATCTCGTTTGCACGACGGCGAGGAGCAAGAGGACCGTCAGCAGCAGTAGCTTCGTGAACCAGAGCCTCCACATGTCTTTGCCCATCTGTTCTTCCCCGCTGGCCACGGAGAACCCGCTCTCTTCACGAAATTACCAGAAGAATACGGTGCACTATCATGTAACGAAACGGTCCGAACGTTGCCCCGTTACATCGGCACCAAAATCCTTTTCCACACCGTGTCACAATATACAATTTACAAAAGAGGAACCGACACGAGAAAAAGTGTGAAACAAAAATAAAAAAGAAAAAAGAAAAACGGTGAACGATTCGGATGTAGAAGAAAGGGTTAAAACGACGGAGTCTTTCGTCGCGTTGTCACAGTCTCTTATCCACGTTGAGGCAGACGAATTTCCAGCTAGTCACCAGACACGGTTTAAACGAGAGCTCCGGCACTCGACGAGCGGAGCAGCCGACCGATTGACCTTTCTCCGAGGTGCGTAACTTTGTCTGTGTCCCGTCGAGGACTGAAGGGGAAGCAAGGCCCGCCGCCGGCTGTTGGGAACCGGAGAAAGGTGTATATCGAGAGAGAGGCCAGAGGCGAGCCGAGTAAGGCCCCACTTCTCCTCGATGGCCCCCTTCCTCAACGCCGCCACCGTGATTCTCGCTGTTTCTTCGTTTTCTCAGTTAATTTCAGTTAAACCGTGTTTACTCGTCGAGCTTCGTCCTCCTCTACTATTCACACCTTTCACGTTATTATCGTTTATTGTCGTTCTAATGCCGCTGCATGGCCGCGCATTTGCGCCAAAAACGATGCAAAGCGCGTGGCCTTGCGTCCTCTTCTTGCAAACCGAAGAAATCTCTTTTCTTGACGTTTCAGTGGTTAACGGAAGGGGGAACGGTGAGAGAATGGGGAGAGCGCGGATTCGGAGTGAGAAATGGGGGTTTGGGGATTTTGGGACGGATCATGGGAGGTGTAATTAGTGGTCGAGGAAAATGGGAATAGTGGAATCGGTGGGATATGGTAATGACAGAATTGAAAAGTAGATGAGTAGACGTGATCTGTATAGGAAATAAAGATTCAGATTGAATTAGCATTTAGAACAAGACGTAAAAAATTGCTGGAATTATTGTTAAAATTTAAAAGATTCTGTTTCGCTAATTACTGTCTATTGAATACACTAGGATACAAATAATTGCAGCAAAAGCCGAGGCGAGGAAACACCTTTCAATTAAAAATGAAATATAGAAACTGGCCGAGGTGACGCAGAAAGTATTCATAATGAAAGTTGTCCGATTAATTCCAACAGCGAGCCAAGATCGTTCCTTTTTTCGCTTCCGTTCCAGGTATCGCCACTTTCGAGCCGTATTACACAGACACCCGTTACGTGGCTAATCCCAGTCGGTGCACCAAACGTCATCGCAGCTGCTGCACTCGTGCCGATTCACCTGTCAAGCTTCTGCCTCGTCAATCATGAAAATTCGGTAGCAATTAAAATGCTGCCATTTCGGCAATTATGGTTTCGGAGGGCATATTTTTAATTAGTTATTATTTATATTGTTTACATGTTTACTGTGTCTGAAAACTTTTTGTCCGTGTAATCATTTTTTAAGTTTCTCTACGACTGGAGAATTCGACAGGTATTACTTTCGAAAATAACGGATCTTTTATTTATCTTTTCTCGCGAGGAGAAAAGTAATTTATGCGAAATACCCGCTTGAGATGTCCCTTTCAAACGCTTCCAAGTCTCACGTAGAAAGGTTTATAAAAAAAAATTTCACTATAGCCACAAGTGCTTATTAGAATTTGTACTGAAATTTTAAAGTAGGTAATGAACTACTTGTGTTTGATGGTACCACGATAACAATTCTCTCCCATTATTATTATCGTAGAAGTAATACAAAATGAGTCTCGTGTCCACAAAAGTTCAACACAAAGTGTTCTCACTCAATAATAATTATTATTTATCAATTAAATGAAATGTTGTTAATCAATTTTTTAACAATTGTTTGATAACTTAAAACTGATAGTAAAACGTCAGGTCTTGTACATCCTGTTTTTTAAGACCTTCCATCCATTCAGGATGTCCTATAGTCTCGTTTGCCTCTTTGGAAGCATCCTGTACGCGTGTCCAGCATCCCGAGACGCTCCTGTTAAAGTCAACCTTGCCGGAGCATCTCCCGATAAGGTGGTCCACCTGTTGACCGCGTGTACACTCCCCTTCATAAGTCTGGAGACGGTTTAGTAAGACACAAGGGAATTAAAATCGAGTTAAACATATAAACGTCTGATGAATATTTTTTATTGAAATCATCAATCTGTCAATTATCGCATCTTTCGAGCTTACATGTAGCCCCTTGTGATTCTTTAATTAGAATTTCTGTTTGATCAATAAACGGTGAACTAAAATTGGATAGTAAATTATGGTCGATGATTGTCTTTCTAAGATTACTATCAATTGCCTCGATGGACCAATAGACTCGCGATTTATGATACGGAGTGTACCCAGTGGACTGAATGAACGCAACGGTGAAACGGGTTACGGATTTCTTGAAGGGGCCTGTAACGACAGTGGAACGGGTTAACGTGGTGGGAGGTTCGCATTATAGGTGGCGACCCGAGGACCTACATTCGCGAAGCTGTTCTCCTCTCAGGTGTCTGCCTCGTCTCCTCGTAGCGAGAGAACAGGCGCGCAGGTATACAAGTATTCGTGTCGATGCCTTTGGTCGACTTTTCTTTAAACCGAGTCGATCCTCGAATTCCGTCCCCGAGATTCCACTGGAGAAATTCCCTACCCTTCTTTTCTCTTTTCGCCGGATTCTTCTCTTTCTCCGCTCATTTCTTTTCATTCGCCATGGACCGCGAAATTGAACGACATTCTAAGAAGTAAAAATTGTTTTCTACCAATTATCTCAGTAATAACGCTCGAATCCTTTGTCTTTAATTACTTTTACTTTCGGTCTTTCTTTGATTAAACATTTTTTTCATTCATTTCTTCTTGCCGCATTTCTTGTGTTTCATTTTAATTCAAGTTGAGTCAGTTAATTTTGTTAGTCTTCTTTATACTTACTCATTAATGATCTAATAATAACATTTATCGAAATATGTATAGTCCTTTGAAATCATTTGCGAATCTCTTCAGACTCGATGTATGTATCTCATCAATCCTTGAACAAACAAACAGAATGTCATCTGTCGCGCGACGCCTCGAGTTTCACACGTCGGCTGGACATTTCTCTGGCCTCGTCATCCTTCCGCATAGTTCAAGAATCAAGTAGCATCTCGAAAAGAGGTGCAGCTGGATGACAAACTTTCTAATTCGACGGCCCGTATCCGTGTAACGAGCGGGAGGATTAACCATCGCGATGTAATTACCGAGAATGCAAGGACGCGAGCGTCGTTAGGCTTAAGCGAGCATGAAAATAACGTCCGTCACATCGCATTGATCGCACAGTTCTATTTTCTACATCCTAATTGCAATTTTGATGTACGATTCATTCGATACGCAGATATTGTCATTTGCAAAGGAAATTTTCTAGAAACGTTCACGTAATCCGATGATCATCGCGTAGATTCCTGACTTTCTGTTAACAAACACGTCGTTCAAGATGATCAATATTTAACGTGCAACGTAAATGTCCATTACTCGGAAGTTAGCAAATACCAGACGATTTTCATTTCGAGTTTATTTAAAAAGTAATTGTTTTAATCCCGAGTTTATGACAATTTTATCTATATTCAATGATTTCCTTGTATGTACGTATGTATTGTATTAATTTATCGCGAAATGGCAATAAATACCGATTATTTAGTAAAGCAAAAGACTCGCCAACTTTCACTTTTATCCACGTGATCAGTACCCCTCTCCAAGCTTTTCTCGTCCTCCAGAGAAATTTCTTGTAATTGCGATTCCAATCGCCCTGCACATTGCAAATTTTCTTCTTTAATTAAATTATTCAATATTTTTACTCTAATCCAGATCCTATTAAAACATATTTAAGAAATGAAATATTTTCATTGTTCCTTCCGTACTCTGTGTTCCACTTTATTAAAAATTATAATTTATCAAAGGTTTTTCAATATCGTCAGTGGAACTAATTTACGTGTCTTTTGTAATCAACGAGACAGAGAAGGAACGAGGAAACGCAGGAACAGAGAATGCGGGATACATTCGCATGTTCCAGTTTCGCCAACTATTTCGCAATCGAATTTTTTTTCCGTCCACTCTCTTTCTGCTTTTCCTTCCACGGTTACCTTTGTTCTCCATAGAAGAGATGAGAGCGAAACGAATTCACGCAACGCGGCATTTCGCAAGCGGAAGGGAACTAACAATAAGATTAGGAAGAACTTTTTCGTGCCGACTAATGAAAAACAAGGGAGAACAAAAACAGAATACAGGATGTGTATCTAAAATTTATTCTATCTGCATTGAACATTCCTCCGATCGATTATTTTCTGCAGAATTAACTTGTTCTAATTGATTCTCGCTATTATTAGGCTAAACTTGCTCAGAGTTTTCTATTTCGCCTAATGCCTTTCTCTGTCGATGATTGGTCGTTTCTCTTTTCGGTTCCCTGCTTCCTTTCTGCAACGTTTCGCTCAGATGCTTTCTGCCGAATCTTCTGAACTTGAAATTGGTCAAGTACCTGAGATCACCGTCCCAGTTTCTCAGCATTTCGCACTGAGCTGTGTTCAGAATATCAGGAATTTCTGCGGCAGAGAATTCTTCTGTACATTGACAAAGTTTTTAACTTTCATAAGTTCTTTAAATTATCAATTATCGTTACCTATTCCACAGGTATTGTACTCTTCCTGTTCTCTCTCCTTGGTCATTCGTATCGCGTCTTCTCTGCTGGCGTGCTGTCTATTTCTCTTGCCACCGATGGATCTCTTGATCATGATCTGCTCCATTTCATCATCGTTTCTCGCTATGTACCTTTAATTTAAACTCTGCTCAGTTTTAGTTCGTATTCCCAATATTCATCTTACGTACAGTTCTAACAACCGAGCAGTCAGCTCTGGAGTATAAGGACATGTATCTGGAACCATATGTTCTTTCAACCACATCATCTTCTCTCCGACTAAGCTCTGTTTTATCAAGCCACTCATCTTTGCCTTCTGTCTGTTCGATATTCTGTAACAAAATGTATTTATTTAAGGCGTTAGTCACGTGATTTTTCTAAACTCGGTAAGTAAATTTATGACGTTCTCTGTTTTACAAATATGGCAGACAAAAATATACAGAATGAGTAAATATTAGACGATTTTTATGTCGATCCATTATTTTTTTATCTTGACAAAAAGCTGAAATAATGGATTTCGTGTTCCTAATATGTTCTCTAACTAACGCTATCTACGAGATATCAAGAATCTGTGTATTTCTTCATCAACTTGACTGGTCACTGACGTAGCGTAGAGTTATCCAGAGGATTCTAGTTAATAGCAGAATACAGAACTAGGACCTTACTTAGCTATGAAGAAATCGAACGTTAATGAGTAATATTAACATTGTGCTTATCGTGTGCTATCGAATTGCACCCCATTAACGCTACCCTCATGACTACGTACCAGTCGAATGATGGTTTTTAAATTCTTCTACAAAAAATAAAAGTGAAACGTTTGTCATATTATTATAAAGTCGTGATTATTATTCCAGCTGGTACTGAACTGAAGTACCAGTGCTAAATTGCACGTAAACGTAAAAAATATAAAATAATATATTAGTCTGCAAAAACTATCGATAGCTTTAGTATTAATAAAGGAGAATTATAATGGAATAAGAAATAAAATGAGTAGAGTGAAAATATTCAAAATAATTACTTTTTGGTCCTTTTTGCAATCGCGATGGTTTTTCTGCTGTTTGGATGTGCCACCTTCTTCGCTTTGAAGAGCTCCTTTTTCATTGCAGTGGCCTGAAATAAGATAGTACGTTCGATTATACATGTAAAGCACAGGAGGAAGATGTAGAGATCTTACCATGTTTACGATGTATTACGAGAAATGTACGTGTTGTTTATTGAAATTGTGATTTGTAACCTAACCCGAAATGAAAGCAAACCAAGCAAGTGTTAGGCACATCGTGGGAGTATTGGAGCGTGCGCACTGGAAGTTACTATATAGTAGCAGACGAGTGATGTAGTTATTTTTTCAATTTAAAGACTCCATTAGATTCCGAGTGGAAAGACAGAATTAAAACTAATGCCGAAAATAAAATATTACTTTACCTGACTGCATAATATTTGAAATAATCATTTCTTTAGCGTACTTGGACGTACAAACAATTTTTCTCTATTTAATTCATTACTTGGAATTCATTCGAAGTAATATTTCACTCTATTTTTCATTTGGTCAAATATTTATCTAAATCAGATTGAAACCAGAATCACGATCGTCATTAAAATCGAAATCGAAACTACGATCCTAATCAGAATTCGTATTAAAATCGAAAACCTAAGTACAACATCTTAGCAGACTGAAGATTTGTTTCCCTTCATTTTTTAATCGGAATTATTCACTTTTACAATAAATTAGATTCGAAACAGATGATATTGATATCAATAGCAGTTCGGCTTGAACACTGATTTTAAGTAGCTACCCTCAGGATTAGTGGAATGGGGAAGAATTGTGAAATAAAAATTCCAAGGTTTATTTTCGTTAATTTATTAATCAAAATTCAATCGAGTTCTTTCCTTTATTTCGTCGTAACATTCATTAGCACATATATTGTATTGAAAGACCAACATACTTTACAATATTTTACAATTTGGGATACAAAGATTCTTAAAGTAGATCGTAGTTCTTCGCTTGGTACCGTTTGCAAAGTCTTTGCAAACGCTACCAACCCAGGTCTCACCGCGTGGAGGTGACTACGTTCGAGACCCGGACAGTGGGGATTGTCCACTGCCCCCTTCCCTATTAAATTGCCACCCTATTATACGGAGCGAATATTGGAGAAGGATTTTAGACGATTGCGAACAAGACTCTAACTATTGACTCTAACTATGGACTAACTATTGACTCTAAATGGAAACTAAGGTGAGAACAAAATGTCAGACTTCACTTGGGCACCAGAGTTCGAGCCGAGCAGGA